CAGGTGCGAACGTGTGCACTCAATCACTCATACCTAAATCTTCTTTTATGGTTGACAGATTCAAGAGATCAGGGCAGTAAAGAGTGTTTTTAAACCCTCTGTGATTGGAGTGAGCAATGAGGGATTCTGTTTTCCATCACAATTCTCAAAATTATTCTACAACAGTTTCTATAATATGTGCAGTTACAGGGAAACCTTATTGGCTTACATCTTTTAAGAATGATAGTGGTGTGTCATGAATTTTCCATCAGCAATGTCAGCTTCCCGTTTATTGGCATGCGATATACCAATCAGAGTTCAATCTCCCATTCCCTTTAAAAGCCAGGTGCGCTTGCACCATAGCTATTACGGATTGCTATTATAATGGTGGATTTTCCAGGTAGTGAATGAGAACCCTTCTCTGCAGTGGAAACATCTGCTTGTGCTTTTGCATGAAGTGGAAGCACCAAAGCAGACAATCTTCATGTGTAACAAGAAGAGTGTTGCTGCATATTATGATCTTGATAATAATTTAAATAAGTGAAATTCTGCAAATCCAGACCAGGTTGTTGTTAAAATAGCAATGTGCTGACAATGCACCTAACTACCCCTCATTTTAAAACCATAGATGCAACTGCATTACAGCTCTAAGTGGTGCTTGAAGTTTTTATTATGCTGGGACCATTTTCAGTATTAAGGTATTAAGGCTACTTCCATACAACTACAGTTGGTAGATGAAACCTCTACTGCTTAACATTGCTAAAGTTTGACAAACAAACAAACAAACAGAACAACATAAATGCAAAGGATTATTCTCAATAACATGTCCCATGTTGAAGGTGACATTCCCTCATGTCTCAAAAGACACATTCTGCACAATTAATATTCATCCTGCTACTGGAGTGCATTGTTGTCATACCACCACTGACAGATGTGCATTCATTAAACTCAAAACCATGGAGACACATTGTACGCAACAGTGACACTTTTAATAATTAATTCAACTCAATTTACACCTGAATTTATTTATACTATCATTTATTTATACCGTTTATTTTCAACTGGGGAGTGGCTTTGGTCTCCCGGTTGGTTGAGCAGCAGATACCACCCCATTAAATTAATTTTAATAATAGAAGGCTCTCATTAAGACCCAATCAGGCATGAAGACAATCTGACTGGAAGGGATGCCCAGAATTGACCAGACTCATACATTATTGACACAGAAACTGATCTTATTTGAGGATGCTGCCATGTGCCTCTGACTGATTAGAAAGTCTCTAAAAGCTTCACCAAGACCCATCCGTCCCCTTATAAAACTACAGTTAACCTCACTAGATCCAGATTAGTATTTGTAACTTGGATAGTTTAATGTTGAATTCTGCTCTTGCTGTCTTCACCAATTGTTTTCCAGCTTTGTGAGCCGTCATTGTGTGTTTGTTTGTGCAAGGGACATGATTGTGAGTCAATTACGCCAATCACCCGGTGGCTCTCCTGCCAGTCCCAATCAGAATCCATCCAACAGAGACCACAGGTGTCTTTGATCCTCTTCAGCTTGACCTTTGTTTGATCACACACGGACACAGACGCAGCATGACACATGGGCTGTAAGTGAGAGATTACAGCTTTGTTCACACCGTGGACATGAATCACATGAACAAACAAAAAAAAGACAGCTTATACATATTTCAGATATGTATTTTTGCAGAATTGTATATTGGAAAGTACAATACATTGTGAAACAATACTCATGTACTGATGCTGTATGCAGAGATACAGGTACATTTGAAATGGTTTAAATCGTGGTATCAGTGTGTGATAATCTTTACTGACATTCAAAATCACATTGTTAAAGCTGTTAATCCATTTTAAATTTCAATTTAACTTGACTTGATTGTAGTTAAATGTCTATTTCAGTATGAGAATATTGTATTTTATGGTGAGCAAGCACCAAACTTAACATAAATAATATTTCAAAAACGCCAATTACAATGTGTTCTGCAGGAGAACATATGCAATTTAAAAAAACAAGTAATTTGTAGTACAGGTACATGCAAACACCATCAAGCAGGAAATAAACAGTATTTGGACAAACATCTGTGTTTGCCACTGTACTTGTTTTTTCACACATTTACACTACTGATCAAAAAACAGATTGAAACCACTTGTAAATTAGAGATTGTGTGCTCCCCTTCCTCGTCCGTCTGGGTTTCCTCATCTTGTCCTCTCTCGCACATTCACGGATGCAACACTCCGGGTCCCTGGAGATGTTGCGGAGTGTGTTAAAGAAGGCATCACACGTTCATTCTTTCCCTGCCTAAATCTGAGCCGGGGCCGGAATTCATCACAGGATCAAACCTGTTTCTCATCAAACTCAGGAAAGTGTAGCTAATGCAATTTCACTAAGTCACTGCTTGACTTGATTGCATGTGGGCTGGGTGCGCATGCTAAGGCACGGCAGGGAGCTGGATGGGTGTCACTGTGCGAGTATGTGTAACAATATATTGTGATCTGTGTAGTTTCGGTTCATCCATTTGTTTTCTCTTTGTGTCACTACACAACTCACGGTTTCGTGTTTATGTGCACGTATATATAAATCTGCACCTGTTAGTTACTCCTCCTTTAATCCAAGGATGTTTTTATGGATAGACGTTGTTTGTCTTGTGTGTGTTGCAGACTGGGCAGTGGCCCTCGAGGGGGATTTCAGGCAGATTTGGCCACATTAGAATGTGTACTTCTTCTTTCTGTTGCTGTCCCACTGAGCACCACTCCTCCACACAACCCCTCCACACAACCCCTCCCAGTAATCCAGGATCAGACCACACACCAAGGGACACTAATGCAATAGACAGTCATCCAAACAACAAACAAAGAATCCTGAAGCATGCACACACACACACACACACACACACAC